AACAGTACAATAAAATATCTTCTGAAATAATAATACAGTTAAGCAATATACGGAACCTTCAAATTCTCTAGATGCAGACGTTGTTCTTCGATGTCTCTCCTTGTTTTTGTCAAATTTTTCCCCCGTCTTCTTTGCCAACTCCTTTAGTTTCATGCATGCATTGTTATTTTATATAATGAATGAATTTTTATAGAAGCCTTTGGTGTTAATCCCTGCAGGGGCGGATTTGCAAGTATGCCTCCCAAAAGGCTTGACCTGTTGTTCCAGGAAAATGGAGGAAAAATACCAAGCCTTGGCTCGGTCCAACATGGAGCAGCTCCTCCAGTCTGCCAGCATGGAACTGAAATTCCTCATCATGCAAAATGCAGCCGTTTTCCAAGGTAGGCAGTCGGGTGGCTTGGCATGGGGTTTCTTTTTCCAACTCAGGTGGGAAGGTATCTTAAAGAGCTCTCCAAGAAGGCCAGATGTCATGCTTTACAACAGGGGCAAGCAAATGTTGATGCTTTATAACAAGGGTGAGCAATTGTGTAAGGACCAGGGCCAATTTCTGCTCCAGATCTCCCCACAAGCTACATTATCTTCCCCCCTCCATCAAGCTTAAATGCCTCCATTTTCCTCTGCAGTCCCTCTCAAAATGGCAGAAGGAAGTGACACCGTGTTGCCATTTTGAGAGGGACTGCAGAGGAAAATGGAGGCATTTGGGCTTGCTTGGAGAGGGCATGTGCAGGCTCCTGGGGAGGTCTGGAGGGACGTTGGGTCCTGCTGTACATTTGTCTACCCTGTAATAAAGACTTTTTGTTGCTTGTGAAGGTATAATGGTGGGGCTTTGCCTGTGTTTTTGTGCATTTGGGGGACTTTCTGTGTGATTTGGGGAGAACAGTTTCCTGAAAACCATGCCATTTTAAAAGCATTAAGACAATTTTGGAAGGAGGGACTTTGGGGTTGGTGGAATGCTTCAGGGGCTGCAAAAATGGAGTCCAAGGGCTGCATGCGTTTGACGAACCTCACTATTTTCCATTGCTGTCTTTGGAGATGGGGAGACCCAAGGTCACCCAAAATAGCAAGAGATGCTAAAGATGTTATAAGCCATTTGGAGCAGCAATTTTGTGCTCCCCAGTATTTGTTGGGGTGTGTGTGCTTGGAGACTCCTTGGTAGCCCTAGTGGCCACATTGGGCTCAAGGTTGAACTTTTTAGTGGATCCCATGTTGGTGGAGGAACATCAGTTTAGTTTTAACCTGTGGAGCTGAAAAATTGGATGAAAGGTTCATAGGGATGGTCTCAAGGAGAGACAATGTGATATTAGAGCAAGAGTGGGCAATCCTTGGCCCCCAGGTTGCATAGGGCCCTCCCTAATTCTAATTTTATCTGGCCCTGAGAGATGGAACAAAAATGGTGGGATCAAAACCCTCAGCCTATTTTGGCTTCAAGTTCAAAAGTCCATACGGAAGCTGGAAGCTGGGAAATGTGATATGATAAAGAGTCATGGCCCCCTGGGGATAAGATTTGACTTTCAGAAGGATGAGCTTCCTCC